TAATCGTTTGGTAATCCATTACGTTATGCCTTGTTGTATTAAATTGGCGATAAAACTTCGCTAATGCACGGTTCGATGAAAAACACTTAATGAAAACTTAACGATGGCGGCCGGCACTCATTTAATAGGCCGATAAACGGTATAAATAACTTTGCGCATTAGACGGACCAATTTAAATGATGGTTTATTTTGTTTATACATATTTATTTAGTGCGGAATCGATAGTTGATTAGTCCGACGATAAATCAAGAATTTTCCATTTAGAAAATGTTCCAATTAAAATTTTTTTCTTGCCAAGAATTTTCTATTACTAATACGTCTATTTTTACTTGATCCAGTATTTTAGGGGAGCCCAAGCGGAGATTTTGTGATTTACTCAAGTGCAACAGAATAACATAAGAGACGAAACCTTGCATTTTTTAAAATACCCCTAACGTGCCATAAGAACATGCCCAATAGCAGCAATTGAGGTCATTCTAGACTAGTGTTGCCCAAGACAATAATTCTTGTCTTGCCTTGAAATTCAAGACAAGAAATTTTTAAAAGTCTTGTCCTGCATATTTCTTGAATGGCAAAGTCTTGTCTTGCCTTGCAAGACTCTTGAAATTTCTTGTCTTGAAAAATTTTACATTCTAACAAAAAGGTAATAATATTTATATATTTTATTTCATAGAAAGCATCGTATACAAAATGTAATACGGAAAAATGAACAACAACGATGCTAATTTTAGCAAAAAAAAATCTTAACGGACCGCAAACGAAGTACGTCAACCAAGCGTTTCATCATCTGTTAATGAATTTGATATTGATTTTAATTCAATATTTGTTACGTCTGAAGATGAACATTCAGGTAGTTTTGGTAGTTGTAGTTCTAATGTCAATACTGATAATGGTTTTCAAAATGAACTTCAAAATTATTTATCTATGCAGAGAGTGAACGATAAAACAGATATTTTAGCATGGTAGTGCCATATTCCCAGTGCTGTCAAAAATGGCTCGTGATTTTTTTTTGTATACCGGCTACTTCTGTTCCCGCAGAAAGGCTCTTTTCGAAGACAGCACTGGTCAAGAGTTACAACGAATTATTAGGCGAACTGGTGTAGTAAGTCCAAAAGCTTGCCTAGTAGCCTTCTGTAATTCTTCTCTCATGCCAATGGTTCTTCCCTTATAATTTCCCCCATAAAAAAGTCGAAAGGAGTTGAATTACAGAACCTAGTAGACCAAGATATGGGCTCCTTGTTCCAATCCAATTCTCTCTAAATTCTACATTTAATAGTACCAGTTGTAACCCTGGCGTTTTAATTGTAATTGGTAATACTAATATAGATTGTTGATTTACCGTCTCAAAAATTTTTAATTAATAATAATAATAATAATTTTAATTTCTGACAAAAAGAGCAAGTATAGAAAAAAACTGACTACGCCACTGGATTGTGCATAAAAAAGTGCCTTAAGAACGTTTTTACAGAATTTTATTATTCCGCGAAATACAAAAGTTATAGGCAATTTTCCAAATGGTAAAAAATTCAAAAAGACTCGGTATCTCAGTTGGCAGTGAAAATATCAACAGGCGGTGTACGCCATTAAACGTGTCTCAGAAATCGAGCCCATGACATCTATGTCGGTTTTGCTCTACTAGTCAGGAAATAGATTTTCTCTGTTAAAACACACCAATTTTGACCACCCTGTACATATATAGGGTGAGTATTAAATAAGTGCAAATATTTTTAGGGGTAGTATATTTTGACCCCAAAAAAATATAATTTGTTGATAATATGGCAACATAGGTAGTAGATTAAATTTACAAGAAAAAAAATACAGAAAAGATCCAGTGCTTCTCAAAATTATAGCAAAAAATCATTTTTTTGGAAATTTTCAAAATAAATATCTCGGTTATTTTAGATTTACTTGAAAAATGGTAAAGAGGAATTATGTTTTTTTATCAAGATCTACCAGCCCTGAAAATATTTGCACTTATTTAAAACTTACCCTGTATGTTCTATAAATTAAAATTATATTTTGTGTTTCATTATTTACACTTGCACTAAAATATTTTTTAACACTCAAACAATTAGCGTTAACTTTTGTTGTTAATAACAATGCGGTAGATTAGTATCTGATAAATAAATAAATAAACAAACACACCTACTAACCATATAGATTCATAAACTAAAAAGTAAATACATATAGAATATTTTCTGTATTTTAGTAACAAACTGTATTATTCCTTTGATAGTTTATATTTCTGCCCACTTAACTAACCTCAAATCGTTAAAAAATGTCATATTTTAAGTAAATCAATGTTTTGAAATCGGAGCAAACTAGCTGAAAGAACCAAAATAACTTCGATAGTAGACACATATTTGGATACCTAATTCACACTCAATTATTCTAATTATTATTCTGTGGGTAGAGAGATGTGCTAGTTTGACAATGACGTTATTTTAAAATATGTAATTACGAATAGACGTAATTAGACGTAATACTACGAAGACAAGGGAAACGTTGTTTTAGATTAAAAAAATCTTAATATCATATAAATTCATTTTTTCCACAGCAACTGTTAAAATTGCCTTATATTGCTTATATCTATCAAAAATAGTAGATAAAATGATAATTTAACAGCGAGGATAGGTTAAAAACTTTATTTCTTCTCCCACGTTTTTTATTTGCTTCCATTTTTGAAAATTTTTATATTCCTTTTCATAAGTTATTCGGGATTTAAATGAAAGTAGTTTGGATATGGCGTTTGTCGTCTCAGCCTGGATATCTGTTGGTAATTTACTTATTTCGTTTTGAGCCATTTCTGGCTCCAATTCAATCAGCAATCGACACGAAAGAGAATTAAAAAATATTGACTCAAAACTGACAACTAAAGAGACAGCTTTATTTATTTGTCAAATTACATAGAAACCAACGCCAATCTAGCACAAATTGCAACAATATTTTTTCTACTCGTAATAAATTCCTTAAAATAATAATTTCTGAATATTTTTTAAAACGTAACTCGCTATGGAAAAAAATATTGTTTTGTACACGACGATAAAATCGCATTTTATCCATTTTATCGTTTTGAATAAAAAATAACTATTTATGGTAAACTAGTTATGTATTATATGAATTATTGAAATAACATCATAATATAATTCAGTTACTTCTATGGAAAAAAGTTAAAGAATAATTTTCTACTAGTAAATTTTAAAGACTTTTTGTTTATTCTAAAATGGATAATCCTGTTTATAGTTTTCCAAATTTCTATGCCGTTTTAGAGAAAAATATGAAAATAAAGCCTAGAAATCATAAACGCATTTCTAGCGTACAATTTATTTAATTTATTCAACAGCCACTACTTATTACCACTACTACACAGACATTACTCACATGTATACATGCATTTTTCCGGCAGTATTTGTGCTGTAGCCGCCTCTGCCTGGTTAATAATTTCTTGCGCAAGATCTTCCTGAATCATTTTTCTTCAAAATCTGACTTGCTGGTTGATAATTCACTATTTTTTTGTTAAAAAATGGCAATTTATCTAAATGACGTCTTAATATCAATGTTATTTATTAGTGACAGAAAAACAAAACTATTTAAATTAGAACATTATAGTTGAAATAATTGTCGACAATAGTTGGTCGAGTTTTGTAAACACTGTCTAACATATCCCCATAAAAAACCCAGACTATATAAAATGAGGAGTATTTAAGTATTCTATTAATTGGTGAATGCACCAACTAATAATTCACCAACTAATAAAAAAGTATCAATCCTCTCTGATGTAGGATAAGTTTGCATTTTCGGAAAATTTCTTAGATTTTTTTTTTGTTTTAACTGACACAAAATGATAACTAGTCGTTAAAGTTGGACTAATTAGACAGCTATGTTGAAGTAACGTCAGATGTATCACAGCCACCTAGATTTTTTCAAATAATAAAGATCTACTCAGATCAAATCATGTAAATGAAAATATCTAGGAAAATCTTTGTTTGAGGGGTAGGCAACCTTAATAGTATTTTAAAGAGACATGAACTCTCCATTGAATATGGGAATAATATATTGAGTGTTCCGTTTAAAATAAAAGAGCAACATGCTTTTAAAGGTGACCAATGTTCAATATTAATTTTGTCACACCCTGTATAACTTTTTGGATCAAGTTTTAATTTGATTTAAAGTACAATATTTAATTTAACTACATACATATTAGGCTATACCGGGTAAATTCCAATTTAGGTAGCTTTTATTGTAATTTAAAAATTCTTCTTTATTTCTAGAAAATGGTAAATATGTCAAAAACCTTACATTTTAGTCATATACTTCTCTTATAAAATTTACCTTTATTTTTCTCCCAGAATCCGAAAATCAATTAATATACCGGGTGCGTCTCAAAAGTGGCTCACCCCTATAACTTTTTTACTTTTTCAATTAAAAAAAACGAGATTTGATGTTAGTATATGACATAAATTAGGAGAATCATGAATGACGTATTCAGTTGTTTTCGGTCACTTCCTGTTTCACCGGAAATGACTACAACTTTTGATATTTAAATGGCACCCTTGGTATTTTTTTTACTTCATTCGATAGAAAATGACACTCTGAATAGAATGACATATCATATGTCAACTTTTCACATTTTCGAATATGGTTTATTTGAAATTGTAACATGTAGTTCATAATAGGGTGCATTCCATTGCAAAAAACACAACTTTGATATGTAACTATTTTTGGGGACACCCTGTAGAACTCTCTATATTTTTAAAAAGTGCTCTGAATTAACCTACATATGCTTACAAAATTTTATTTCAATACAAACTGTGGTTCTCCGTGGACCCTCCGCGGCGTATGAGAGGCGCCACCCTGTACAAAATTACTTAATCCTCAACTCAGCAAGATTATAGAATACAATTATTATTATATTTCTTATTTATGATAAATAATACCTACACTACCGTACGTCTAGTATTGTTCTACAAAAATATTAACTCTCTATTAATTTGTTTCAGGTGCTAATCGAATCACAGTGAGGTGAAAATGGACCATAGGCGACAATCTGGTACTTTTCCGAGAACACCCGAACTACTAACCAGAAATAAATGAAAACACACCAAAACAACACTCAAAGAATGTTGATATTTTCATTCTAACATTACACCATTGTTATCAGTGATCAAAATGTTAAAAGACCTACACGAACTATTTATAAACGTGTTTATTTAGTGCAGTAGTGACAAAACACAACAAAAATGCCGGTGGTGGACGGGATAAACGTTACAACGGTCCACAAACTAGACATAATAGACAAAAAAGGTGTCCAAGTGTTGTTTCTTATAGCGTACACTACCATATTCGTGGTGGGAGTGTGCGGAAACGTTTTAGTGTGCTTCGTAGTGTTCAGAAACAAAGCGATGAGGACTGTAACGAACTTATTCATCACTAATCTAGCGCTGTCCGATATTTTACTATGTGTTTTGGCAGTGCCCTTCACTCCGCTGTACACATTTTTAGGGAAATGGGTGTTTGGTAGTCTTATCTGTCATATGGTGCCCTACGCTCAAGGAACCAGCGTCTATATATCTACCCTAACTTTGATGTCAATTGCTATAGACAGGTAAGATATAATCAAAATATTTAATCATTTTTTGTTGAAATTCTTTTCCGTTCAAATATACAGGGGCGCAATTTGTAAAGTAGCAATAATAAATACCATTTGATTCAAAAAAATGGCGTCAAAGACGACTGGCACCAAAGATGACAATCGATAATAATTTTCACTTACTGCCAGTTAGCCTTAAGAAAGTTGTAATTTATTTTTATATTGATTAAATTTAAAAGTAACCAGTAATTTTATCAAGTTTTATGTCAATTTTTAGTCTAGTAATAAAAGCTTAAAAAATCAGCGAAAACCGCATCTTGATATCTTTTTTCAATTTTTCAAACCAAAATTATTAGTAAAATTCTAATAAATACGAGAAAATAAGCCCTTAATTACCTTATTTTTATAACACGGTTACAGTAGCCCTCTTCATTATGATTATTCTAATAAAAATAAGATAGAAACGATCAGTTTCTTCTAAAATCGACAAATTCTAATATGTCATTGAAGATATCAATGACAGTGAATAAGAAACGATGCCTCAGTGAAGTCGTGGTAGGCTTTGGAAAAAGTTGCTTTTAAAGGGATAGTTTAAACATCAGAATATTATTATATCAACATTTCGATAGTGTCAGCAGCGTTTTTTTTTATCTTTTGATTGCTTCTCTAAAAACACCCTTCTTCTTCACTTTGACATCAATAATTTTAATAATAATATAGTAATCTTAATATTAATGTTGTAGATTATCCTAGATCAGCCAAATACACATCATATATTTTCTATATTTTCAGATACTTTGTCATAATCTACCCCTTCCACCCCCGCATGAAGCTCTCCACGTGCGTAGCAATCATAATCATCATCTGGATATTCGCTATCCTAGTAACAAGCCCTTACGGCATCTACATGAAACATGTCCAGGATCCTAACAACATCACCAGATACTACTGCGAAGAAGACTGGCCAGTGGAACAGTGGAGAGCAGCGTTTGGAGTTATCACAGCTGCTCTGCAATTTCTCATTCCGTTTCTCATTATGGCCTACTGTTATATTTGTGTGTCTATTAAATTGAACGATAGAGCCAGGTATAGTAAAATTATTTTTAACTTTGGATTAAGTAATGTGTTACAGTAGATCTTGTCACAGTAGATATTTAGTATGTCTGAAGGCTATAGCTATACAATTTACCTGTTAAAACATCGTTTCTTAATAGGCATTTAAGCCTAAACATTGTTTTTCCTTTCAGAGCAAAGCCTGGCTCGAAAAATAGTAGAAAAGAGGAAGCGGATAGAGAAAGAAAGAAGAGGACGAACAGGATGCTGATTGCTATGGTCGCCGTGTTTCTATTATCCTGGCTGCCGCTAAACGTCGTCAATATTATTAACGACTTCAATAAAGAGATGATCGCCTGGGAATACTACTTCTTAAGCTTCTTCTTGGGTACGTTTTTAGTATAATGAGTTAATATGGCGAAATAATCTTATTATCCAAAATGTTAAATTCTTTTTATTTTCAATTAATCTTAATCTTTTTTGACAGTTCACTGTACAGGGTGATCAGAGTTGTAATCGGAAAATGTCGACAACATATTTTTCAGATAAAAATATGTAAAAAAGTTTATAAATACCGGGTGGTGCACAGAGGGGATTTTTTCCAAATTCGTGGCCAAAATTTAAAATTCTGAAATGAGCAATATTCTCATAATTAATATTTGAAACGACAGGCAACATATCTATCTATTAAGCTAAAAAAAAATTATTATAAATTTTTACCGTATTCCCTAGTTACGTTGATCCAAAATTAGCTTTGGCAAGACAAAATGTTATGCTGGCTATCATTACTTAAATTTTCGTTACTAATGTCGTTTGGTTTTATTGTGTTTTCAATAATTTTTTGCGAAAAGTGAAACATGGATTGTGTACCTTCATGTATGTAGAATAATATAATATTTTACTTACTAGTATTTTAAAAATGCATATATAAACTTTTATCGGTTTTGTTTTCTATTGTTCAAAATGAAAAAAGAAAAAATTAAGCGTTCATTCGGTTAAGCATTTGGTATCCTATTAATGCGTATTAAGCTCAATGCTTTTCACTGTCTTATTTATCAATGCTTAATCTTATTAACTGTGTTAAAAGTGACTGCTAGTTTTTGCTAATCTGTTCAAAATAACAGATTTTTGGCTCTAAACGTAATGTGAAATCTACTTATATAATAGAATAATAAACTGTCTCACTAACAGCCACTTGCATCAACATTTTTTTTAAGAGACCGTTAGGTTAAGGGTCTTTTAAGTGCCATTTTAACACTGATTGATGACCTGTACGTCACATCAAATAAATGGCACCTTTAAATTTAATTGTCCTTTAGTTAACGGACACTTAAAAAAATGTCTGTGAAAGTGACTGTAAGTGACGGATATAGGCACATATCAATGCACAGCTTAAACCTCTGGGTCTAGAGACTCGAAATTTTGCACAAAGGTTTCTTATACAAAGTAGGCGAGCAATAAGAAAGAATTTTATAAAACTTGAAAATTCAATTTCTTAAATAAAAAACATTTCTGTGGGTAACTACCCTTTCAATATTGAAATGTTTTTTATTTAAGAATCCACTAGTTTCGCGACAAAATGCTTGAACACGTATTTTTATTTTTGTTTTTGACATACGAAGATATTTTTTTCCACGACGATTGTCCCATAGGGGGTGAATACAACCCCCTTTTCATCAAGCTGAAACCAATGGGAGTAAAAAGCTGAATTTTGGCTTACGTATAGATTGTTAGGTGTAGAGGTTCAATAAGTAGGGATTTTTCAAGACCCAAATTTTAAGGGATGAACAACCCCTTAAATATTTTTTATTTAAAAAACTATTGGTTTTGGTGAAAAGCGATAGAAAATACGTGTTCAACCATTTTTCTGCAAAATAAAACAAATTTTAAAATAAAATGATTGCTATGGTCGCCGTGTTTCTCTTATCCTGGTTGCCGCTAAACGTCGTCAATATTATTAACGACTTCAATAAAGAGATGATCGCCTGGGAATACTATTTCTTAAGCTTCTTCTTGGGTACGTTTTAGTATAATGAGTTAATATGGCGAAATAATCTTATTATCAAAATTTTAAATTTTTTTTACCCTTCAATTAATCTTAATCTTTTTAGACAGTTCACTGTACAGGGTGATCAGAGTTGTAATCGGAAAAGTGTCGAAAACATAGTAAGTTTCAGATACAAAAATCATTTGTAAAAAGTTTATAAATCCCCTCTGTGTGGCGTCTGAAAAGTGGTTAACTCTAACATTTTTATTTTTTCAGTAAAAAAAACAAGATTTGATAATATGTTAATATATGACATAAATTAGGATTGATTGACGTATTCAATTGTTTTCGGCCATTTCTTGTTTCACCGGAAATGACTACAACTTTTAATTTTTAAATGGCACCCTAGGTATTTTTTACTTTATTCGATAGAAAATAACACTCTGAATAGAATTCGGTTCGTAACGAAAATTTGACTCGAAATACCAAGTGCGTGGTATCAAATTATTTTATTTAGACGATCAAATATATTTTTCCAAGGCTCCTTGATTAAGAATTAGTATTTTTAACATAGCCATGGCACTCTAGATTGAATTTTATAATACAATTTTTTATTAAGTGAGAATGTCAAAAGTTGACATATAATATGCCAGTATTCTATTCAGAATGTCATTTTCTATCGATTAAAGTAAAAAAATACCGAGGGTTCCATTTAAAAATCAAAAGTTATAGCCATTTCCGGTAAAACAGAAAGTGAGCAAATCGATCCCTTGAGTGCAAGTCAAAAAACCCGCGGGGCAGATTTTCTATACTAATCCGGCTATACCCTTTATATGATTTTTTTACTTATTTTTGTCTGCAGAATATGCTGTAGAACTTTCCCGATTTCATTTCGGACCACCCTGTATATCGTAATGTTAGCCGTTATTTATGAACAATGATTTATGAATAATGATATACAAATTTCATGAAGTCTTTTTCTAAGTTTTAAAACCCAAAATAACGTTTTTAGTTTTTATAATATTAATAAATTGTTATTAATTTCAGTTCACCAAATGGCAATGTCATCCACCTGCTACAACCCGTTCCTCTACGCATGGCTGAACGAGAACTTCCGCAAAGAGTTCAAGCAAGTACTTCCCTGTTTCGACGCATCGATCGTCAGAGTACCATCTAACAGCCGATTCACAAACTGGAGATCCGAAAGAACATGCAATGGTAATGAAGGATATGGTGCGCAATAACTTAATTTATTTTCGATGTTAGGAAAAGTATATATTAGATGTATACTAGTAGTTCCCTACTCAGCATAAGAAAAATTTAAAAAATATATTAAGCAGGTTAAGTAGTAAGTAGCTGCACACAAACTAAATTTTGAGAGCCACCGGATTTTTTTGTATTTGCATCCCTTTTAGTGCGGTAACCATAGAGTAAAGCCATGGTAATATCAAAGATTAAGAAATTATATCGTAGGAACATTTGCGGTGGCGGTTCTAAAAAGTTTTCTAAAATATCCAGAAAAATTTAAAAGAAAATGCATGATTTTCAACATTTTTTGGCGGAAAACCCTTATAGACGTGCTCCTGGTGTTGATATACAGGGCGTTCCAGGTCGAGCGTGCATTAGAAGTTTCTAGAGAACTATGATATCTAGATCGGAGATTTTTTGCACATCACTGTTTCACGACGAGATCTATAGATTGAAAATATATTCATTCGCTCATAATAGCGGCACTTCCGGAAATACCAGAAGTTGACAGGAACTTTCTTATTTTAAATAGCTACCCTCATTTTTTTATTACTTACATAAATTCTCTGTTAAATAATCTCTGTTAAAAAATGTTAAATACTCTATACCTAACATTAATCGTTTTTTAAGTTAAAAAATATTTAAAATTTTGGAGGACATAAAGAAATAAAAAAAATAGAGAATATGTGGCTATATATATTTCAAAAATTAAATTGTTCGGTGTCATATAATATTGGCCGCAGCTACGGTGGCAGTTATATAACTTCTGTTAATTTAACAAAAAATAAAGATTGCAGAGTAAAATACTCAACGGTACTAAAAAGATACACATTTAAAACATATTTTAATTATTATAGAATTAAATCTCTTATAAAACTCACCTTTATTTTTCTCCCAGAATCAGAAAATCAATTAATATATAGGGTGTTCCGTTACAAAAAACACAACTTTGATAGGTAACTTTTTTTGGGGATACCCTGTAGAACTCTCTATATTTTTTGATAAAGTGCTCTGAATTAACCTACATAAGCTCACAAAATTTCATTTCAATACAAACTGTCGTTCTCCTAGAAGCTTCCGCGGCGTGTGAGAGGCGCCACCCTGTATACCACCCCTAAAATTTTTTATATTTATTTAAGATTCACCTTGTATAATGCTGAATGGATGTAACGTTAGCTCGCGATTAGGAATGTTAGCATCGTTATGGGTCTTCTGATTTCACAGCTACAAAAATGACATTAGCGTGCAATATTTGAATACATTAATTTTTAGTAGACTTTTGGGCGTTTTTGAACCACGTGCCTTTTTAGACTAAATACTCAAATAGAAAGTAACAACTTAATAAAAATGGCCAACATTTGCAATTAACAAAGGGCAATTTGCTTAATTAAAGCTAAATTGGAACGAGCTTAGTTCGTGCTCCAAATTATAGCTAAAATTAAATTTCTTTATGCACTACTTTATCTGCTTTCTAATTTAATTTTCGAATCATTGTCTAGAAATTCCAATTTCTATCTACTTAAACTAGCACAGTGCAGATTAGAGCCAGGCTTCAATCTGTGTCCACTTTAAGCGCTCTATATATACAGAAAATAACTTATTGTATCTTGTTTCTGTGCAAATTTCAATTATCTATGAATAGAGTTCTAGTTGAATGTCATATTGATAAAGGTTATATTAGAGATTAAATATAATAATAATTGCTTTTCTAGAGTCTTGTTGCTCGTGATTACAGATGGCGGATTTGTAAATTTACCATTTACATTTCCAAATTTATTATGCCTAAAGCGAGAGTCATAAAACACTAGCAGCGCATATTTCAAAAATATTTTTTTCAATGTATAGGCCGATACAAACATATATTTAAATTAAAGTTGTATATTTTTAAACATGGAATAATAAATCGGCTTTGGAAACATAGGAAATTTCATGCAAATTTTGAACTGTCCAAATATTGGTTCCCTTGTGAAGTCGTAAATAGGTTTATTAAAGGTCTGCAAATTCTGAATACACATGTCAATTTTGAACAACTTCGGTCAATTTAATTTTAAATTAAAACTGAACAGGTAACAATGCAAACAGGTAACAATGTCAACATACCTATCAGTTGTTAACCTTTAAAAATGTATTTATTAAATACAGGGTGTCCCACAATTGGTGCGACAAACTGAAAGTAAAGGCATTTAAGTATAGGAACCCATGTCCGGAAATGTGCCGTTTTAGCAGGAGGTGGAGTGCAACGTAAATTTCTATATTTATTCAAAACATTTACAAAAACTGCTCAAAGATGGGTCCATTCTGTTGAAGACACAAATGCACACGCCTGTTCACGGATGTACGAACCCTGGCAAACCCGGCGTGCAGTCCGTGTTGGTACCTTAGTGCACGTCCAGTCAAGTTCCTTCCTCTCATTTCAATAATACCGAACATGGGTTCCTATTTCGTTTACTCAAATGACTTGTTTTGATGCCCTCTACAACCCCTTTCAGTTTGTCGCAGTAATTGTGGGACACCCTGTATATACTTCGCTGTAAAATGAATAGGAGAGTCATTATTAGGACAGTTCAAAATTTTCAAGCGATTTACTATAATACGATGCATGCACACGGTATGTATTATCAGTCAAGGTATTTTCCATTAATTTTCATAAATTTGTATGGAAATCCTATTTTTGTTTGTAGACTAAATTTTCTGTACAGGGTGGGTCAAATTGGACGCTTTTAAAGGGAAACACCCTTTTCTATAGGAGATAGATGAAAACTAATATCGGTGTTTGGAGCTCAATTTTTATCAAAAAGATGATGGTGAAAACCGCATATCGATATCTAAAAATATTATAAAAATACTGCATCTCTCATTGCAAATATTATTTTCATTTTAATTGCCGCTCACAGCTAGATTTTTTTTGCATTACAGCCGGTGCCCTTCAAAGCCTACTTATTCAAAGTGGGTGAATTTTTAAAAACTTCATATCTCGGAGAGGAATCCAGCAAAATATCAAGTATGCTACATTTTTGGAAAGGTTATTGTAAATTATTTTCAATGAATTAAAAATATACAGGGTGTCCCATATAAAAAAAAATTCTGTTGATAATTCTTAAATCATTTATTAATTAAAAAAATATATACTTAAATCGTTAAATTCTACGTAAAAAGGTGCTTTGGAGATGTTTTCGTAAAAACACAACATTTTCCATAGCAAAAAAGTTACAGCGATTTGTTAAAAATGCATATTTTTGAAAAACACCTCGTAACTCCGTAACGATAACAGATATAAATGTGCGGTTTTCACCATCATGTTTTTGATAAAAAATTGAGCTCCAGACACAGATATTAGTTTTCGTCTATCTCCTATATAGAAAAGGGTGTTTCCCTTTAAATGCGTCCAATTTGACCCACTCTGTACACAGCATATAATTTTAACTCACCGTGTACATATCAAACGAAATACTGTAAATTTTAGTAGAATGAATTTTGAAGAAGACAATATTTCCTGGTTAGAAAATATTAAACATTTCCAATTTTAGAATTTTAGCAAAGCTTGAAATAAAGAGAAACTTTACGCATATACTTATAAATTGGTTATATTTCAAAAACCACTCTGTATAAAATATAATATTATCCATTTTTTTTGGTACGAGTATGTTAGTATTTGACATAAATTAGGATTGGTTGTTCAATTGTTTTCAGTCACTTCCCGTTTCACCGGAAATGACTACAACTTTTGATTTTTAAATGGCACCCTGGATTTTTTTTTATTTCATTTCAAAGAAAATGACATTCTGAATAGAATGACATATCATATGTCATTATTTAATTTTTTATTGACATTTTCAATTAAAAAAATAGAATATTAAATTTCAATTTAGAGTGCCATGACCATAAATGTAACGACAATAAATGTGTGATACCAAATTATTCGTAAAAAATGCCTTTTCCGAGTATGCTACTGATCCAGCCTCGTTCCATTTCATAAAATTGAGATATGATTAAAAATACGATTTGGATATCTTTTAACCGGCCAGGACAATACACTAAAACCATTAGATGATCAAATCTATTTTTGCAAGGCTCCTTGGTTACAAATTAGTGTTTTTAACACAGCGATGGCACTCTAGATTGAAATTTAAAATGCATTTTTTAAGCCAGAATGATCAAAAGTTAATATAAAAAAATAATAATACTAAAAATATATAATGTAATGAGTGTCATTTTCTATCGAATAAATTAAAAAAATACCGAGGGTGTCATTTAAAAATCAAAAGTTGTAGTCATTTCCGGTGAAACAAGAAATGACCGAAAACAATTGAATACGTCAACCAAACATGATTTTTATGTTATATATAGTCTATCCAACGAGAAGATCCTTGATAGTGATAGATGTGTCTGTCATTTTAATTTCAAAGTAGTTTATTTTATTTTACAAAGAAATAAGTTGGTACAACTGGAACGCATAGCAGGAAATTAATATATGTATTTAAAATTTGACTGACAAGTAACATCAAAATATTGTGAGAAAAACTGTATAAAACTGAAAAAATGTAATCGAGTTAT